AGATCTCATCTCTCTCTCTCTCTCTCTCTCTCTCTCTCTCTCTCTCTCCTTCTTTCTTTCTCACTCTCTCTGTGGGTCTCACAGAGCGGACATTCAGCACATCATAACCAGATGGCTAAAGATGCACCACAGCTCGCAGTCTCTCTCTCCCTGCTCTGTACTGCGCATGACCTACTTAGGGGTGGGACAGTCTGCACACTGTGTGTATGTACATGTGCAGCCTGCCTTTACACTGCCTGCTGAGGCACAAACACCCTCTGATTAAAGCTGTCATCTTTCTCCCGTCTGATGACACCCTGGCACATGTGAAGGAGGTGTGAGCAGGGGGCAGAGCAGTCTGAGGGGCACCGGGCAGCTTTCTCACAAAGACGTGTCTATCTGCGTGCATCTGCAGTATGTGTGTGTCTTCTGCACGTAATCAACAGCTCAGAAACAAACACCAACGGGTGTCTGTTGGGTTAGGGTGCTGAGCGATGACGACAGCACTTTGTTTTCACCGAGGGGACAGCTTGAGTTATAAAAAAAAACTCAAGCAATGATGGAAAGATGGATTGGATTAGAGGCAATCTTTTGAGAGTTTTCCAAATATATGGCTTTATGATCACCACATTTTTTCTAACATCTTATCAGTTTGGCAGTAAAGACATTAGAATCTAGGAAGTAGAATGAAGGCATAAGGTAAACTTACTTCCTGAACCTGGTAGAGCTGAGTTTTGGTTAGTTTTTGACTAATTAACATGAAAAGTATCAACATTTGTAACTGTAATGAGGTCAACTGTGATGTTTTAAAACTACACCAGGTCAGGTTTAAAACACTAGTAATTTTGAAACTAACACGCATGACAAAAACGTTTTAAAAAGGTAAAAAAGTATACTTTTACCTGTTTTTATTCTGTGAGCATGTGCATTTTTTCTGTGTGTATGGTGTGTGTTGCCTGCTTATAGTATACAGTATATATATATACATGTGTGTGCGTGTGGTCCAGTTCCTGTTTGGACACCAACCAGCAGCAGTTATCCAGCCAGCTTTTAAATCTGTCTCTCATCTCTGAAGACCTGTCATCTGTCAACAAACCACATGCACAGACGCGCACACACGCACATACACACACACACACACACACATTTCTGCCTTTCTTAAAATACAGCACTCAGTGACCTTCTTCACCAGCTGTCCTCGTTTTGAGAAGCTATCAAGGGAAGCAGAGAAGGCCTCCGAAGAGCCAAATTAATTCTTTGCTTTGAGCCGTGACATAACGCCTGCTGCAGCGCCACAAAAAAGCCTTCACCACCGCTCTACAGCCACAGTATGTAGCTATGTTAACTGTGCCTCCTCGTATAGTAACAATAAGGGAAATATGTGCTTTTCTGACCTTTGAATGTATGTTTTAGCTAGCTGCTGCTCCTAGTCAAACCATTTCAATGAGTCGGAACATCTTCTGCAACATGGATCAAAACCAGCAGAGCATAGCCTAAGATTGTGTGAGGTGTATTATGTGTGTGTGTGTGTCCTAACCTTGAAATATACTGCATATCCAAACACAGCCTAATTAGGCTAAACCAAAGATCCTATGTCCAAGAGATGAGACAGGGTCACCAGCCTGTCAGCATTACAGGTGTTTTGAAGAAAAGGGAGTTTCGCCGTGCAATGAGTGTAAGTTGCGTGTGTGTGAACAGCAAGGGCAGAGAGTGCCATTCCTTCATTTACATTCTTTCCACTGTATTGGCCATAAGTATGAAAATGAACTGCGGCAGCCCAGTGGAAGAGAATGAACAACATGGGTAATGGAAGAGAGACAGAAACAGCCACTATGCTGAATAGGCTGCATGCTCCTTTTCCTTCCATTATCGCTCTTTCTGTATGTGTGTGTGTGTGTCAGTGCCCTTTTCTGACTCCTCTCAAATAATTAATCTGCTGCTTTGCAGGAGTTTTTATTAGATTCCCCTCTTCAGGTCCAGGAATAAAAAAAACCCACTTGCTCCTGCATACCTCCACCATGCATGTACAGTAATGAGTGTTTGCCCTATAAGGATTGGTTCAAAAGGGAAGGTTAGCTGTGAAATGTGCTTGGTGGTAACTTGATATTCTTGATTCAGATGTGGATGCTAACTGAAAGATGGTGCATGTATGGTTTAACTATTGTAGGTAAGCAAGAGTATGTTTTTGGTGTCGGTTTTATTGTTTTCCTTAAATCCAGCATTAATTGATTTTCTGGCCACTTGGAGATGCAACACGCTTTAGACAAAACACACATTATCACCTTTAAACAGCTGCCTATTTACACATCCAGCAGACACAGAGCAACATTAGCATCCATTTGGAGATGACAACCTGATGAGTCCTTCATTCACTCTCCTTTTAGCTTTGTTTTGGTCTCCTCTGACTCCTAAGATAAATATGTGAGTCCTTAGCTGACAAATGCTCCACTATGTTCACCAGCAGGTTTCTTACTTCACATGTCTGCTGTTTGGGGCTGAGCAGGTAGCGCACAGTGGGTTTAAAAGAGCTTTTTCGCTGAAAACAGCTGCCTGTCGCTACTGGAAAAGAGGTTGATGAGAACAGTCACAAAAACAAAATAGCTGAAATATCCTCCGTAGAGCTGCTGCTGTGGAGTTTGGGTGTGATTCTCTTTGGGCTTGTCACTATGAGCGACCCCATACAGTAATTTGATCCATTGTTAATATATAAATATTGCTTCGAGCAACTGCTGTCAAGAGAATGTTGCTGGGTTTTTAAGTGCTCCTCTTTCAGTCAAGGGGGTAAACATACAGGATTGTCTGTAAAGCAGTCCAGAGAATTTCTTGGAAAATCTCATATGGTGGCACAAAATCTTACATGTAGTGATAAGACTGTTAAACTGTTGTTCAACATTCTTATTTTTTTAGGCCAATTATACTAATCTTTCAAAAAATAATACCGTAATAATTTTTGGAAAATGCCTCCAACAAACTTTGCAACACAGTCCAAACAGTATTGAGATCCTCAACACAACAAACTGTGCTTGAACATGTGTATCGGTAACTCTCCCTCTCTATGCACTGTCTATGCCTCACATAATCAGCTGCCGCAGTTTTTGCTCTTCTCACCTCTTGTGAAAGGTGGCTCGTGGTTGAAGTCGGAAACCTCAAAATCGTACTGTGGAGAGGACGCTTTCCAGCAGGAGTTCAGCAGGGAATGTTCCTTAGACAGAGCATAACCCTGGAGAGCTTCATTAGCACATGTGGGCATACATAATGAGCGATCGTGCACTGATCTAAAATAGCAGCTAGCATAATAGAGCAGAAGAGTAACCAAGCGTGCAACATGTACGCGCACTCACACATACACAATGGATTTTACTTCACTGTCTCTGGTTTGCACTCGGTGTTCCCTGTGGGTATAGTGTGTATGTGTGTGTGTGT